TTTTCAAAAACTGTAAATAGGACCCAAGACTAAGAAAGGCTTTCCAGTGAGCGAGTGTCGGAAGCTGATAAGAGAAGCTTTCTCAAGGCTTGGTAGCATAACTTACTAAAGACATATCTCCTTGCAATCTGCTGTTTTCTCCTGTGAGCCACTGACATTTGAAAGATTTACTGATTAGCTTATAAATTACAGAGCTCGTACACATTTGCAACTGCAATTAATGCTTCCCCTACCTCAGGGAACTGTTAGCACTCATACCTAGAGAGAGGATAGTTTCACATAATTTCTTAATCATTAACAAAAGACATGTGCAAATTACATTTCCAGACAGCTAGCATTGACAACTGAGTACCTCAAGAAAGTACTTACTTAATAGATTATCTTGTCAGGCCATGTAATGGCATACATAATATGTACATTTCCCCCCAACATAGTAAAAAGAAACAAAGGAAAAACTAGCAAGGATGGTAATAGATTTCCTTAACCTTCTTGTGAGAGTCATTATGGTCTTATAACTCTTAGAGCATTATCTATGTTAGAGAATTATGTAGGCAGAAAATGGGGGAAAACGAATCTCAGATCTAAGATACTGACCTAGCTAGGACCCATCCAAGGCATACACAAAAGTACTAAGCAAGTGTTTTTGTTTGTTTCATTGTAGATCATGTTACTTTGTGGGTTAATATGCTGTATGAATTAAAATGTACAGCACAGTGCCCTTTAGCTAAGGCCAAAATATCTGTGGCCTACAAAGATTACCATCAGCTTAAATTGTGTTTTCAAAGAATTTGCTCTTACCTTTCCTAAAGACTCACTGAGAAATTGTGGGGAGGCAAATCTTTATTTAACAAAGAGGCACTGTGGACTCATTTTTGCCCCTAGAAAAGTTCTGATTGTATTTCGCATTTCAGGATTTTCTTCTATTGGGTTTGCTCATACTACCCGATGTTTATTTATTTATTTATTTACGTATTTATTTATTTATTTATTTGTATATTTATTTAATGGTTTTGAGACAGGGTTTCTCTGTAGTTTTGGAGCCTATCCTGGAAATGGTTCTGTAGACAAGGCTGGCTTTAAACTCACAGAGATCCACCTGTCTCTATCTCCCAAGTGCTGGGATTAAAGGCATGTGCCACCACAGCCTGGCCACTACTTAACATTTAAAAGCATGTTTTAGCTGGCTTTCCTGGTCTGCTATTATGTCTTTGTTTTTCTTTTAAGATCTACCTTTGTGATCTGAATTAACCTCTCCCTCATACAAAGTGTATTGGTAAATGACTTCTGTATTTGTCCTAATTGGGACTTCAGGTCGATGGTGAGACCCTGAGAAAATTCTCGCTCAAATGTTACTGACATAGGAGGCTTTGCAGTTATTTATTAGAAGACAGCCTGGGAGGAAAAGAGAAAATGGATTGTTGTGATCCTCTCTTGCTAAATCCGGCCCCACTGCTGTTAGAGGTTTCTTTGCTGCTTTCTCTAAAAGGGCATCATTTCAGGGCACTAATCTTTTAAGCAGCCATTCAGCAGGAATTGGGCTAGAACCTTGCTAAGGGGTCACATTCACCAGCCTGACAGTTAGACATTTACAAAAGAAATGGTACGAATTTATTCAGCATCAAAACCTCTGCATCTCTTACCGCCCAGCTGTATTTCACACCGTATTACAGTCATGGCGCTGCAATAGCTACATAAATCCCATCCGGACTCATCATTTAATTAACCAGCATTCTTTGAACAAAAATAAAAGTGCTGTTTTTATAGAGGAATAAAAGCTGCACAGCCCGAGTGTGAAGAGTACAGATCATCAAATTAGTGATTCTTCACCGAAGCTGGGGTGATTTTCCTGCCCTTTCCTCTCTCACTTCAGAGGCTTTTTTTTTTTTTTTTTGATGGAATAGAAAATGGGGAGCAGTGCAGAGTCCTCAAATGTTTTTGAGAGTCTGTTGTTATAACCACATCCTAAGCCAGCACAGGAAGTGGTACTGGTGATAACTGGTACCTAAAATTGATTTTGTTTTATAACATTTTCTGTAGTTAACTAGATAGTATAGACTAGTAAGGAAGAGCATAAAGTCTGTTAACTAAACTACATGAGTTCGATCCCAGCTCTGGCTGGCACTAAGCTTTCTGTGCTTTCATGTCCTGTCTTTGAAATGCGGATAATTCTAGGCACATCTTACACTGTGATATGCAGTTAGCTGACTTGACACATAAACCTTTAGAACAGGGCTGGCATATGAAGCCGTTACCTCCAATGTGCTCAGCAGCCATCTGGTGTGAAGCTGACCCGGGTATGTCACTAGTAACTTTCCTGGTCATCTGGGCTGGAATGGCAGGTGCTATGCATACTCTCATTTCCAAAGGTGCCCTTACAGTATAAGGCAAGTACTTTCAGATACAAGGGACTCAAATTCTTTGAGTGACAAGTAGAGAAGGCAGTTAACATCTCATACCATTCCATTTTGCACCCAGCTGCCAGCTTTACCTTTTAAAATTAATTTGATTTCTTCATTTGTTTATATATCTCTTCTAAAAAAACAAACAAATCAACAAAAAAAACACTCTTCCAATAGGATCCCTCTACCTCAATCAAAAGCCACCTGGCATCATTTCTCATGTGCCACATTCTTTCTTGCTTGTTTGTTTATGCTGGTGTTTTGTTTTCTTTTGTTTTGTTTTATCATAGCTACCTTACTCCACTTATGTACTTCGCACCTTATGTTCTGGGCTGAGCCAGAAAAGGTATAGATATTATTTTCCCCTTTGTACTGTATTTACATCGTATCCCATAGTCGTCTGTCTGAAGTAGATGCTAGCTTAATGTTATGGTTGACCTAGCCTGTTGTTCTCCTCCCAAACTGTACTGGAACTCTAATTACTTCCTCTACCACCTCTTCTACAACCACCCTGGTCAGCCTCGGTCAGCTTTTCCTGTTCCCTTTCTCCTCTTTCTGCACCTACCTGTGTCCTCTCACACAGTCTGTTCTTATCTGAGCAATGAAATGCACTCCTTTAAAGCTTAAGCCAGTTTGTAAATAAAGGTTTCTCGTCCCTCCCACCAGTTACCAAATAACCACTCTAAGGCTTACTACTAATTATAATGGTCTGGCCAATGGCTCAGGCATCTTACTGACTAGCTCTCACAATTAAATTAACCCATTTCTATGAGTTTATATACTACCATGAGGCTCATGACTTACTGGTAATGTTCTGGCATCTCACCCCTAGCAAGGCTACATGGCGCCTCCCTAGGCTACACCTTCTTTCTCTCTGCATCTTTGCATTTCCCACCTGGCTCTATTCTGCCTGGCCATTGGCCAAATCAGCTTTATTCATCAACCAATAAAAGCAATACATGTTTGCAGCATACAGAAGGACATCCCACATCACCAGTTCGTATCACTTCTCCACTCAAGGCCCTCCAGGCACTTCTTGCCTCACTCTGAAGGAAGCTTGTGTATGTTCCTAAGCCCTGTCTCTCCAGGCCATCCCATCTCCACATCCACTCATGTTTCCTCTCTGCCCTAGTATCCTCCTACTTCCCTGCCATTCCCAGATTGCTCACTGTTTCTGCCTCACTGACTGCCTTGATGTTCTCCAAAGATACGAAGCTCAATCCAGTCCCAGGAACTTTGCCCATGTGCTCCTTTTGCCCAGAAAGCTTCTCTTCAGGAAATCTTGGCATGGTCCCTTCTGCGAGTCTTTAATCAATGCCTTCTCACTGAGATAGTAACTCATGCCTAGGCTACTATCTGTCTCTCCAAAGTAGAATGTCGGTTTTGAAGGAGGAGAGTTTTCCATGTATACTTTCCATGCATATTCCTGAAATTGACATATAATAAACAGTTCTTGGATACTGAATGAAAACAGACCCTTGAGAATATCCCCCACACCCATACTTCTCTCAGTACTTCATGCTCCAACGAAAGCAAATGCTCCATAACAGCTTCGAGAACATCAAAATAGCTATAGTTTAATATTAGCCATGACAATTGGAGCAGAAAGTTCCATTACAGAGAAGAGAGGTTCCCACACCCTTTAAAGAAGTTCTGCGCTATAATAGCTGCAGTGTTAAATTATATGGGTGTCCTAGGGGAGTGTGACCTGACACCAAAGCACATTTTAAGAGAGACGATGGCTTTTGCCACCCTTACCTTCCAAGGTAGAGTATAGCCAGTGTTTGGAGCATTGTTGATGGTTTGCTTTATTATGTCATCCAAAGACAGTAAGTGAAGAAAAGCAATCATTAGTATTGAGGTCAAGCAGGCCCAGGCTCAAGACTCTACGCCCTTGTTTATCTTTTTTACTCTCTGGGTTGCTGATTGCTTATGTATAAATGATTTTCAATCCATTCCTCAGGACATTATTCCAAAAATCGAATTAGCAAAGGCAGATGAAGCACACACTGTGTATTTAGCAACTGTCTCTTGAATATTGTATCCAACCTAGAAACAATTATATATTATGCTACCACCAAAACAAGAAGTAACGGTCTGATGCCCTGAGAAAGCCTTGTCTCTAGGACTTGGTCCACCTCGAAGCCTGACAGCACTATAAGCCCTTCCCCAGCATCTGATGAAGCTGCGGTAGACTTCTGAGAACACCAGCCCCTCCAACTACTATTCTGTAGCTTACTCCTTTTGTCTTTCAAATATGTTCCTAATGATCTATTTTGGAGTTTCAGTTTTCTTTTCCTTCCTTCATTTTTCCAAAAGTGATGCTAGTGTGCGATGCAAAAGGGTCATACAGAATCTTTTTACAGAAAAAAAAAATATATACAGAAAAAAAATTTAAACTAACAAAAGACAGGGCAGCTAGGTCACATAATGAAATAATATACTTATTTGTTTTTAGTTTTTAGATGGAAGATAAAGAACATAGACATGTTAAGGTTTGGAGTCATAACTGCCAAAATGAGAAAACAAAAAGCACTTTGTATAGACCACAGAAGTATGTTTTGCGTTTTCTTCACTTGACCTTAACTTTTAACTCCTTAGGAAGCCAAAGCCGTAGCTGAAGAAACCCGAGCTCTGCGAAGCCGGATCCATCTTGCAGAAGCTGCCCAGAGGCAGGCACGTGGGATGGAAATGGACTACGAAGAAGTGATCCATCTGCTAGAGGCTGAGATCTCGGAGCTAAAGGCTCAGCTTGCTCATTATTCCGACCAAAATAAAGTAAGCAAACAGCCCTCTCTAGTTACCATGGTTCCCTCGCCACTGTCGTGTATCCTGTTTTCATTTTCTTTTCATCTGCACGTCTAAACTAGGTCAGTGTTTGTCTTCTATTATTCAATGATCGGATGTTGTGTCGTGAAGAGGGTGGCATGAAAGTTGGGAGCCTGCCTTTATCCAGAAAGCTTGGCGATGGAAAAGCACGGGCCCCAAATTAATTGGGTCATTGGTCAACATTGTTCCATTCAGCCATTCAGGCCTGGAACTATTTAACATTTAATTGATGGCACTGGTTTTCTCTTTCTGTCTTTGAGTTTGCTAATTTGTTTTGTGGAGATGGAAGGAGGGAATTAAAGGGATGTGTTTTGCTCTTTGATTAGAGAACCTGGGGCAGTATAGCAGTATACATGCTAATGAATTCTTACAGGAGACACATGATGACTAATGAGAAGAAACCAAGTTTGAATTGGTTTGGTTTTGTTTCTTTGAAAGTAAGGAGTACTAACCTGGGCTTCTCTTGAAGAGCTCTCAATTGCAATACAAGATACTGAGTACCTTGCAGGAAGCAAGCTGAACATCTCTATGTGGAAATTGTCCACAATGTACCTTTAGTTATGACTAACCTTCAAATACCATATTAGAGGTGTGTGTGTGTGTGTGTGTGTGTGTGTGTATGTGTGTGTGTGTGTGTAAAAGTATAAACTAGAATGAGTTGAAGCAGATATTTTATAGCTTTATAGAAATTCTTCACTTATAAGTAATGGGTGTTTACATCCCTAACCCATTTAGCCTCCAAGCAAATACAGAACAAATTTGAGCTATTTATGAATATTTAAGCATATAAGGCTTATGTTCTTTACCATACCAAATTAAAATGAAGCTAGTTTTAGAAAAGAAAATTTTAACAGCAAATGTGACATTTTCTTTGCTCGGCTCTGAAAAGCCCTCTCCATTTCCCACATATCTGCTCATCTAAAGGACCTCATAGAAGGCTGGCCAGAGGACCCACTCACCATTGGGGAGACCTTGAAGGAACACATAGCACTTGAGCAAGGAGCAGCACTTAGGAATGTTAATTACAGACGTTTGTTTATCTACGTACATTTTTAAACAGCCGTGCTACACCATGTAACTTTAACCTAATTATGAAAATATTGTAGAAATTAACAAAATATTAAAGATACTTTTAATAAAATAATTAGTTACTTTTACAGCAGAAGTTGTCATTGTTTAATAGTTCAAAATTCTTGCTGTTGTTTTTTATTGTGGTATGAAAGGTTGAAGTAGGACCTTATATATGTTGAGCTAGAGCTCTATTGTTGAACTATTCTTTAGCCCTGTAATTTTAAGTAATATGCTTTTAAGAGATTTGCATAAACTTATCCAGTGACTTTTGCTTTGTTAGTTTTTAAATATTTGTTAGCATTTGTACAAGGGGGTATTTGGAGGTGGGAGGGCATGTGTCCCAGTGTGCACGTGGAGGTCAGAGGACAATATTGTAGAGTCATTTCTCTCCCAGTTTCTGTATAGGTTCCTGGGAACAAACTCAGATCCCCAGGCTTGTGCAGCAAACTCCATGACCCACTGAACCACTTCTCTTGCTCCCAGTGTGGGTTTCTGTTGTATAAAGTTTAGGTTATTGCATCTTCTTTTCTCCAGTTAGGAACATTTTGGTCCTAAGTCATGTTCTCCCTCTCTGTAGCTTTATGTGGAATCTCATGACTTCCCTTTTAATAAGAGTCTAAACTACCTCTCTAAAATCAATGATTTCTCCTCCTCCTCCTCCTCCTCCTCCTCCTCCTCCTCCTCTTCTTCTTCTTCTTCTTCTTCTTCTTCTTCTTCTTCTTCTTCTTCTTCTTTTTGGAAAGGAGATGTTCAACATAAGCATCTCAATATTCATTTCCAATTTCCAATTGGATATATTCATTTCCAATTTCCAAAATTTTCCAATTTTGATACCAGTAGGGAAAAAGTAACTCAACTGTGTGTGACATTGCTTAAGGATCTGCTGACTAGGTACAACAGAATAAGGATTCAAATATTTAATTATCTCTATTTATTAATTTTGTACATGTGGGGTACATATTGAGTAACATATGAGTGAGGACAGAAGTCAATATCAGGTATCTTTATCTTTCCTAGAGAGCTATCCATCTTTTTGGAATGAGGGAGGGGAGTGTTTACAGAGATTCTCATTGGGACCTGCAGCACCAGAGATCCTCTTCTGGTCACCTCTGCAGAAATGGGGTGACAAATGTATGCCACTTCACCTGACTTCTTACATAGGTGTGGAACATGGGTCAAGGGCACAACAAGCACTTTGCCAACTGAGTTATATCTACAGCTCCTAAGTACTTATTTTTTTACACACTTATTCTTTCTGTGATGACACTTTCATTTATTACTACAATTTTCCCTTATGTTATCAATATATTTTCTAGTTTGTACCTGGGCTTTTGAAAAAGTGCATCTGAAACATAAGAAATAAAATATTATTATGTCCAGAGAGAGACCTCAGTAGTTAAGAGTACTTGCTGCTCTTGCAGAAGATCCAAGACCTGCTGCTACCATCCAGGTTGAGTAGCTCACAACTTCTAACTCCAGCTATAGGAGACCTGATGCCCTTTCTGATCTCCATGGACAACCACACAGACACGTACACTACACATGCATACATAACACATGAATGAAAAATAAGTATCTCTTAATAAATAAACTGTTATTTATACCTGTGAAGGACCACAATATCCACCTCCAGATTACATCTACTACTGTTGCCCTCACAGTTTGCTGATTTCTTGGATTTGGTGTCTACCATTTTCTTGATAATTTTACTCCTTGCACATCTACTCCCTGTTTGTTTAGTTTTGCCTGTTTACCGGGTTGATATGTAGGTAGTTGGTATATTTTTCCATATTTATTCTTCATTGTATGAATTACCAACATGCAGTTATCCATTGTCTTTTTGATGGGAAGTCTTATTATTTCTCTATTATTCTACTGTGAATATGTTCCTGAGAACATTGTGATACATATACCTTTCTCCATATATATATAACTGTTAGGGACAAGAAGTAGTCTTACCAGGTTGAGTGGTAATTGTATGTTCAACTTTATAAGTAAATGACTAATTGTGACTGAAAGTATTTTTAAACTAATTTATATTCCCATGAAGAATAGATTAGAATTACCTTGCTGATTCTTTGCTTTCTTTTATTTTGAATTTTTATCCATCTGGTTGGTATAATAATTGCGGTGCCAGTATAGTTTAATTTGAATTCCCCTAGTTACTAATGACTAACACAATGGTGTGCTGGGACCCATAGTCACTGGCTCATGAGAACATGCCTCTTCTCAATACTGTGCTCACTGATGGAGGTTGGAAGCTTAAAATCAACCATGATGGAGTCATTTATATCCCTAAATGCTGTAACTCAGCAATTTGTTCTTCCCTGACTGAGATAACCAGTTGAGCGTATATTTATGCATTCAGTAGTCACTTATTTTCAGTGCAATGTGCTTTTGTATCTTTTAGTTATTTTCCCATTTGGGTTGTTTGTCTTTTGCTTAGAGACATGTAGTGATTCTCTTGCTTACAAATCCTTTATTGACTTACATGTGATAAAAACTACCCTCTCAAACTTGTGGCTTGCCTTTTCTACTCTAACATGAAATGGAAAGGAGCTCTTAAGTTTCATGGAAACTTAATTGTCTTAGTTACTTTTCTATTCCTGTGCTAAGACACCATGAGCAAGGCAACTTAAAGAAGAGTTTACTTGAGGCTTACAGTTTCAGAGTTTTGGAATCCATGACCATCCTTGTAAGGGGCATGGCAGCAGATAGGCAGGAATGGCACTGGAGCAGTAGCTGAAAGCTTACATGTTGATCCACAAGCATCCCACAGAAAGCTAACTTGGATTGTGCTGAACTTCTAAAGCCTCCATGCCTGCCCCCAGTGACAGTCCTCTGCAACAAGGCTGTACCTCCTAATCCTTCCCAAACCATTCACTAACTGGAAACTAACCATTCAAATATATGAGCCTATGGAGCCATTCTTATTCAGACCACCACACTTATCATTTGTTATCCTCTTACATGTTTTCAAAAGTCCTTCATTCTTCGAAGATACAAAGATATTTATTTATATTTGCTTCTAGAAGTTGTTAAGTTGTGATACATGTGTGATTGGTTTTGTAACACTACATGGGGTGGAGAGTCATCTCCTTCTTCCATGATTCCACATGAATAACACTGGTTGATCCTTTACTTGAAAATCTCATTTGCTTACTCACTTTGGTGTCATCTCTGTCCTGAATTCTAAGGTTCCGTATGGGTTTGGCTCTCTAGTCTCTTTCACTAGCCTGCCTTTCACCCCTGACGATAACACAGTTCGTTGCTTACAATGTCTTTTATGAAAATCTGACCATGCCATTTACTTATTTTTATTTAAAAGTGTGTTGGCTCTATGGCCCTCTTATTTCATATTCTGTATACTGCTTATCCATACCACAAAACAAAAAAGGATTAGAACTGCAAATTTTATCATAAGATCATCAAATATATGATGTTTTTCCCCCTTACTTATGAATGCCTCTGAGGCAGAGAAAGATTCTTGTCTGTGGCTAAAAAAAATCTAGCTTATAGGATCATAACCCAGCAACATTTGCTGAGGTTTGTTTCCTGGCTCAATATGTACTTGATCCTTACAGGTGGTCAAAGTGAAATTGAAAGGATATCTGCCATGTCATGTTTTTTTCCATGTAGTTAACAAGGTCGGGGACATTAGGGGTTCAATTCCTTTTTGTTCATAGGAATGTCTTTGTGTTCTTAAACTATCAGTATTTGGAAAAACATAGTAATATCACTTTTGAGATTTCCTTTTTTATATCTTATTTATGTATTTTGAAACAATGCTTTTAGGTACATTAAGGCTTGGAATTATACAACCATCTTTTATGAAAATGTTAGGATTTTATCTATAAATTTTGCCCCCTACAACTATT